TATCTCCTTTGAGACACAAATTAGTCATGTGTTTTTCAGCATTCCAATATAAGTCATTTATTTCTGTCTTTTTTTGTTATTGATATCTAATGTTATTGCAGTATTTAGAGAACTTTTCAGCAACATCATGACAAATGCATTCATCAGATAAAGGCCTCCGAGTCTATATTAATTACATCCAGCTTACTTAGTGTATTGTTCAAAATCTTTAGCTTTCCACCAACATCTGGTTGTTGTTCTGCTGTGTCTGTCCATTTCTGCAAGGGTTCTTATAAAATTGTCCGTATCATTTCAGTTTGTCAAATTCACATGTCACCAGTTTGAATTTGTTTCTTTTCAGATTTTATTACTGAGTGTTTATAGGTTCAAAGTTCATATATCTCTCTACGTTAAACCATTAATCATCTTTTAAACCACCATTTGCAACATCAATAAAGCTTTTACCTGATGCTATATTATTTCATATCAATATTACTACATTAGGTCGACTTAAAACATGACCATGTGTGCATGGAGGAACAGAAGAACTTTATCTTTCAGAGTCAAGGGGGTGGGGGTGGGGGGTGGTACTGCTGAGAGGGTGCAGAATCAGCATGTAAGTTCTGAAAGCTGCTTCTCAGGCCCCCACTTCCTATGGTGTCTGCAACTCACACACAACCAGAACTGGTAGAATATTTTCAAGGAGGAAAAAAAGTCACATTAGAATCATCATTTATTTTATTTTAATTTATTTTATTCATTTTATTTATTTTGCTTTTGGGGTGGGCTGGAGCGATAGCACAGCAGTAGAGCGTTTGCCTTGCACGCAGCCAACATGGCCAACCCGAGTTTGATTCCTCCGCCCCTCTCAGAGAGCCCGGCAAGCTACCGAGAGTATCTCGCCCGCACGGCAAGCTACCCGTGATGTATTCAATATGCCAAACACAGTAACAACAAAAGTCTCCAATGGAGACGTTACTGGGCCTGCTCGAGCAAATCGATGAACAATGGGAGGACAGTGATTTATTGATTGCTTTTGGGGTCACACCTGGCGATGCACAGGCGTTACTCCTGGCTCATGCACTCAGGAATTACTCCTGGAGGTGCTCAGGGTACCATATGGGATGCTGGGAATTGAACCCAGGTCAGCCACGTGCAAGGCAAACACTACCTGCTATGCTACTGCTCCAGCTCCTTGAAGTAAAAAAAGAGTAAGTTAACGAGTGCCACTTTAACAAACATATGGTGGGTCTCTAACATCCATGCAGACTAGGAATACATACTTGAACTTGAGTTCCGTGGGGCTGAGCCCACCCAGGTGGGTTTTTGCCCAGGTGGACCCAGAGTTCTGGCCTCTCTCTCCCTGTCTTCTTTGGTCTCCAAGGCAGGGCTTGGAATGTAAATGAGCAAAAAACTTATCCTTCAGGTTTGTTTGGGTTTTTTTTTTGTCTTTATCTCCCTCTACTGGTTTAAATCTATCCTATTTCTGGTTTTCACTAGTTACTCTTATTTTTTACATGCATACTTGACTTTCTCAGAGTACAGTGCTTTGCTGGCCTGTTCAGCGGGCTGCCTCCCATAGTGGTTGAGTGTCTGCAATGAAATTGATTGACAGTGAACATTTGTATTGAAATAAATTGAAATGAATTTGAATTTGAAGGTTGTCACACAATACCCAGAAGATTTCATATGTGGATGGAAGAAGGTGGCCAGGGGAACTTTTTCCAACTCTAAATCTTATGAAATATTAATACTGATGAGATATTTCCAGTGAAAACCTAACATAGGAAATAAGATGGGCTGTAAATGCAGAATACAAACCAGATCTGAAAGACAGAGTAGCAAAGGGACAGAATACATCCGTTACAAAATTTATCATGATTGCTAAGCGAAATGAGTCAGAAAGAGAGGGATAGACATAGAAAGATTGCATTCATCTGGGGGATATAAAGCAACAAAATATGAGATCAATACCTAAGAATAGCTGAGATCAACACCAGGAGGATTACTCCATAGCTTAGAGGCCAGCCAGGTATTCTAGGGGAAAGGGCAGTTCAGATAGAGAAGGGAGCACCAAATAAAGGGTGTTTGGAGGATCCTCCCAGGAGGGGAAATGCATGTTGAAAGTAAACTATGGACTGAACATGATTGCCACTCAATGCCTCTTTTGCAGACCACAACACTCAAAAGGAGAGAGAGAACAAAGGGGAATGCCCTGCCACAGAGGCAGAGTGGGAGGGGCTGGGTGGGGGGATATTATCCATGGTGGTGGAAAATGGGCACTGGTGGAGGGATGGGTATTTGATCATTGTGTGACCGAAACCCAAGCACAAAGATTTGTAAATCTACAACTGTACCTCATGGTGCTTCACTAATAAAAAAAAAATTTATCATGATTATATATTGAAATGACATTTTGCACATCTTGGCCTAATTAAACATGCTATCAAACTAATTTCACCTTTAAATGAATTTTTAAAATTTAGGTGGGGGGCTGGAGCGATAGCACAGTGGGTAGGGCTTTTGCCTTGCACGAGGCCCACCTGGCCGACCCAGCCGACCCAGGTTCGATTCTTCCACCCCTCTTGGAGAGCCCGGCAAGCTACGAAGAGTATCTCTCCCTCACAGCAAAGCCTGGCAAGCTACCCGTGATGTATTCAATATGCCAAACACAGTAACAAGTCTCACAACGAAGATGTTACTGGGCCCGCTTGAGCAAATCGATGAACAATGGGAGGACAGTGCAGACAGTGCTTTAAAATTTGGATTACCTGTGAGACTCAAATTACTTCTTTGGAGGACAGGGTTAGAGGGGAAGACCCAAGTCCAGGAGTCTGCGAGTTCCACTTCTCCCCTTCTCTCTCGGGGGAGTTGGACCCCGGATCCGTGCTCTGTCCCAGGCAATGTCAGCTCCTTTTGTTCTTCAGACCCACTTTAGCCCCCTTTTCTCGCTCCTTTACACATAAAGTGACCCACTGGTACTCCGGGTATCCAGGGCGCTTCTGCAGTTCACATTGCACCTCCCACAGGCTCCTGTGATCCCAATGGCACAGACTCAGCGAGGACAGTTATTCCTCCTGCACCTCAGGGCCCCCCCAGCTGTGCAGAGCCCTTAAAGTCTGAGGCAAGGCAGGTGCAGGGATCTCCCTGGGGGGAGGGGAGACGTGTTGAAGTAGGTCCTTGTCCATTCTTAGTCCCCTCCCACAATATACCTCTCATTATCGTGACCTCACCCTCTAGAGCAGTTCTGGGATCTTAATGTCCCTTCCGTGTGGACCCCGCCTGACCAGAGTTTTGGCTCCTGTCTCCCAAGACCTTGGGATGCTGTTCCCTAGCTCTGAGCACCTCCTAGACATCCCCCAGTGAGTCTCATCCAGGTAGCGCCAAGGGAGGCGTTCATTCATGCCTGCCTTCAAATTTGCAACACACGCCCCACCGGCTACATCCATCCTCAATCCCAGCCCAGACTTATGCAGAAGGATGAAGCCTCCTGAGCTCCGCAGAGCTCCCAGGAAGGTCTCTCAGCTGAAGCCTAAGTGCCTTAGGGCGGGAAAAGCCTAGTTATGCCAAGTAGCGTGCTGCGTGCGCCATCTTGTGGTCATCCTGGCCATTGCAGTTAGAGTCCCTGTACCTGTGCTCATTTTCTTCTACCCAATGCTTGAAGTTCGGCTTCAAAAGCAGGTGGAAGTAATCCTCTGGGCTCCAGCAGAGACTCCAAGAGCATCAACTAAAACACCCTATGGCCTTTTGATATCTTATAGCAACTGATAACTTATAGCCCGCGCGCCTCCGTTCCAGGGCCGCCCCGGATAAATAAAACAGCTTTGCTCTGTGAAAACAAAGATATCCTCGTGGAACTCTTAGTTAATTATTATTTACAAGGAGGTTCTGGAGGAATGTGTGACTGTTGGGGTTCACTGGGTAGGGACTTCCAGAGGTCACTGAGACCCCCCTGATTTCTGGGGACTCCCAGGACCTCACTGTACCCTCAAATCACAGAAGCCAGTCAATCTACCACTGAGGTAAGATTGCTGGCCTAGGGGTCTCCACCCAGTCACCTGGGAAGCAGAAATATTTCAAGCACATTTCACTGGGGTCAAACATGCAGAAGAGTAAAGACCTATGTGTATTCTGCCACTTGCCTGCCAATTCAGTACGGGGGACGGTTCAGAACTAGGGATGGGGATGGGAATTGGACAGGTTTGAGGCCACACCCAGTGATGCTTTTCCTGACTCTGTTCAGGAACAATCCCTGACAGTGCTCAGGGGACCATACGTGGTGCTGGGGATTGGAACGGGGGTCAAATACATGCAAGGCCAGCATCTTAACCCCTGGACTAATTCTACGGCCCCCAATTCAAGTTTAAACCTAAATGCAATGTATAGCTGGGACACACACACACACACACACACACACACACAAAACCCACCGGGGTATGTTTGTAAGGTGGTTGTCCACCAGACACAGATGTCTTCATTTTTTCTCATGTACATGAAAATGCAGCAAGTATAAGGAGGTCTGTGGGAAGCTGGTCTAGTTTGCTGTTGGAGGGAAGTGGAGGGGAGAGCACACATACCCTGTGCCGTGGCTGGCACCCTCTTTGGCCTCAGTTTCCCAGTCCTCAAAGTGGGAATGGGAAATGGGGGGTGAAGCCAGCATGCTCCTGGCAGTGTTTCAGAACGCCCTCCGCAGCCTGGACACTCCCTCCTCTGTTCCAACATCTGCCTGCAACTTCCTCCCTGGAGTGATGACACAGAGGTAGGCTGGCTGTGCAGAGCGCAGTTTTGTGGGGCATCCTGCGGGTGCAAAGCCCGAGAAAGCCCGCGCGCCTCCGCTCCAGGGCCGCCCCGGAGGCTGCAGGTGAGCACAGAAGGGATGATGAAAAGGCAGGAGCTAGACCGTGGTCCAGAGCGTGAGAGGCGCTGCCCGCCGCTGCCCGCCAGGGGGCGCGCTGCACCAGGCAGTCCCGGTCCAGCGTCCGCCCCGCAGAGGTCAGTCTCCCCGGGAAACAGTTCCTGCAGTCTCTGAGCAAGCCAACGCGGGTCATCAGCGCGGCCTCCCCAGAGGCACGGCGGAGCCAGCGAGCCTGGACCTGACAGACGATGTTCGGCCGGGCCGGCTGCTTCCCGGTGCTGCCATCTCCCCTGCCCGCTCGTCACATGGGGGGGTCGGGGGGCAGGGCCAAGGCCAAGGCCCCGCGGGATGAGCCCTGGCGCTCCCTCCTTGCAGTGTCCTGAGAAGGAATCCCCAGGCCGGCTCTGGGCAGCTGAGGCAGAGGCGTCCTGCTCCCCGGAACCAGGTGAGCCGATCCAGGTGGGGCGAGGCGCAGGAAGCCAACCTGATGGGCACTTACCACCCCTCCACACACACACCCAACGCACTAGGGTGATGGGGTGCGGGCGGGCTATCCAGGGCTCACACGCTCCAGGCCGGGTGGGTGTTGAGGAGGTCGAGGGAGGGCAGCTGACCGGGTCAGAACATCAGGGGTAAATGTATTTGCCCAGGCGTGAGGCATGGGTGGCAGTCAGCCTCTTGGCTTTGAACCCCGTTCCCCCTCCCTTCCACTTGCAACTTGGGGGATTCTCAGTCCCATCACCTTGTTGCTGGGTGCTGTCAGTTAAGTATTATAGCCATGAGCAGTACTCAAGAGCTGGGTGTCATTACTATCATTACTGTTATTGCCCAGGATGGGGTGAGGTCCCGTGCAGGACACGCTGGCCTGGGTCCAGGGAACTCCTGGCTGCCGGCCCCTAGGTGAGCCTAGCGGATGCCAACCAGCACCGCTCCCAGCTGAGTCATCCCAGCTCTCTCTCCACCACTGCCCTGGGCTGTGCCTCTCCCGCAGGCCAGAACCAGTCTCCAGCATTGCTGAGCATAACGGCTGTGGCCAGCTCTTGATTAACACCCAGAAAGGGGCTGAGAACAAGGCAGGACTGGCATGGGTGACTGGAGCACTATTCTGCCCCCCTGCCTGCTCATCAGAGCCCAGTTGCCATCCATCTTTCCCGGAAGCAAAGACCCACGCTCAGGGCCCTCTTGCCCCATTGCCAGAGGAGGATACCAAGGTCATTCCTCTAGCCTGAGCCCTCCTGGACCCCTAACCCCTGCCACCATGCACGAAGGCACTCACTCACTCACCACCCCCTCCTGTGATATGGATGGGGGCCAGTGGCAGCTGGTAACTTCCCGGGACACATGGCTCGACCAGAGCAGAGGCCCAGCTTGCATATCCCAGGGGTTCTTGTATTAGTGATGGCAGAGCTGACACAGGGCCAGCTGACCTGGCTGGATGCAGTGGGGAGAGGCTGGGAAAGAAAATAAGGAGAATGAACGTGTCGGAGGGGAATGAGTCACATCGCCTCTTAGACACACACACACACACACATGTGCACACACATGCATGCCACATACAAATACATGCACACACCCACACACACACACCTATATGCACAAGCATGAATGCATGCACATGCCACATACACACACATACACACGTCCACCTATTTCCACACTCATGCATGCATACTCATGTCATATACGCACATGTCCACACCACATGTACACACATCACATACGCACAAACACACACAAACATACACACATCCACACCACATGTACACACATCACATACGCACAAACACACACAAACATACACACATCCACACCACATGTACACACATCACATACGCACAAACACACACAAACATACACACACATGCTGGGGGCGGGGGCAGGCACCTCCCTATCCTAGAGCAGCTTGAAGTGTTATTTTCTGGACTTCCTCTTTCCTGCCCTCAGTCCTGGGGCTCTGGCATCCCGTCTAGCATCTGCGTCTCTCCTATCTGAGCCTGGCTGTGTTGTGCCTGCCAGCTCCGCCCAGCACCTGGGATGAGACAGGTTGATTTAGCACATCTCAGATCAGGCCAGCAGGGTGTCTCCAGAGTATATTGGTGGCCCAGTCAAGGGCATGGGGCAAGAGCAGACATGTGGCAAAGTAGGGAGTGGATGCCTTCCCAGCACGACTGAGAACGACATTGAAAAACTGTGTCACTCTTCCTCTAGAGGGGAGGAAGCGAGTGTCAGCTCCTAGAACTGGTGTCCAGAGCTGTTTTATACAAGGCCCCTCTCTGTGGGTGAAGCAGGTGCCTCGGCAGCAAACAGAAGGCCTGGGGAGGTGGGAACAACCAGACCACAGTGACTGTCAAGATGCTGGATGCAGCCCAGCTTGAAGTCCATGTTGCAAGGCCTTTTCCACTCAGGACCAAATAAATCTCCCCTCGTTCTTTAAGACAATTTTAATTATTTTAATTCCTAGCAACTAAAGGTGACTTAACTGATTCTCCTCTATTCACGAAATAGAAAGTGGATATTTGGAATGTGCAAGGTGGCCAGAGGAAACATAAGACTAAAATCTCAATATCAGAGCCACTGTGCAAACCTTTTTTGTTTGTTTGATTTTGGTTTGGGACCACACACAGTAGTGCTGAGGGGTTACTCATGGTTCTGTGCTCATCCTGGCAGGGCTTAGGGGACCATATGAGGTGCCAGGTATCAAACCCCGGTTGGGGGGCTGGAGCGATAGCACAATAGGTAGGGCATTTGCCTTGCACGCGGCCGACCTGGGTTTGATTCCCAGCATCCCATATGGTCCCCTGAGCACCGCCAGGAGTAATTCCTGAGTGCATGAACCAGGAGTAACCCCTGTGCATCACCGAGTCTGACCCAAAAAGAAAGAAAAGAAAAATTAATTAATTAATTTTTTAAAAATCCCCGGTTGGCCACATGCCAGGCAAGCCACAGCACCATCTCTCCGGCACCCAAATACCTCTGTAGTAGAGGTTATACCTTGTGCATTGTTGGGAACACACTTTGGCTGACCCAATAACTGGTTATTCTATATTTTTTATTTGCTGAATCAAATAACCCTATTTCAGTGGCACATCCAAATTCATACTGCTGGGACAAAGAACATACTCAGAGTTTTCCTGCTACCCCCCTGCTACATTAGTTCTCAGGCAGGCTTCGTCCTCTGAAACCTGTTTCCCTCCACCTCCCTCCATTCCCCGGCCTCTCCCTCCTGTCACTTGGGACACAGGGACCCTGGGAGAACACAGCCGCCTGTCTCTGTCACCACAGGCCTCTCCACACCTCCCACGCCCTGGTTCTGGTCCATTGTCTCACTTCGCACTGTTTGCGTGGCCTCCCTTCTCCAGAGTGGGCCTTGCTGCTCCAGGCCTGCAGTGTCCCTCTTGCCCATGGCCCTGCCTGCTCCCAAGGCACTCGCCAGAGGCACAGTCGGACCTTCCGCCCGTCTGCATCAGCCTCTGTTCCCTCAGACTGTCCCAGCAGTGGGAGCTGTCCACACAGTCCCAAGGCGTGAAACAGAGGACAAGGTCCAGCACGGCCCACTGCATGCGCTGTCCAGCAGCCTGCAGACCTGGGGGCTGACTGCTGGAATCCCTGCTTCCCGCACTGCCCCCCACCCACCCCACACACACACCCAGCCAGCCTGGGGAGGGAGAGATCTCCTCCGGCTGAGAGCCCCGGCTGTGCTTGGTCTGATGACCACAGACACAATACAGACCCTCAGGGACAGGCCCTCAGGGGCAGGGGCCAAAGGGGGCAAGAAGGGCCACATCCTCCTGAGGAGTCGCTCTCTGCCATCTGTGACCTCCCTCTGTGCCAAAAGGGTCACCCCAGGCCCATCCTCTTGGGGATGCCTTTCCCTTCCCTTGCCAAGATCCCTGGCTCTCTCCATGAAGCTGCAGCAGTTTCAGGGGGCCATTTTCCACCATGATTTTTTTTTTTTTTGCTTTTTGGGTCACGCCTGGTGAAACACAGGGCTTACTCCTGGCTCTGCACTCAGTAATTACTCCTGGTGGTGCTCGGGGGACCATATGGGATGCTGGGAATCAAACCCAGGTCGGCCGCGTGCAAGGCAAACGCCCTACCCACTGTGCTATCGCTCCAGCCCCTCCTTCGTGATTTTTTTCACAGCTGTGCAGGAACGGAACAGAGCAAGGGTCCTGGGGCCAGTCGCCCTGCGCTGGTACTCCCACCCCCATAGCCACGGTGCACACCTGCGGGCCATGCTGCCTGGGTGCCAGTTGGCATCTGGACCTGCTCTCCGGCCGGTCCCCAAGAAACAGCATCTCCGGTGCAGCATGAAGTGGGCAGGCGCCCCGCACTTACCCACTGCCCCCCCTGGGGCCATCCACTCCGAGGGGAGCTGCTGTCCTTGTTGCCATCTTACAGCCGGGAGGAACTGATACCCAGAGGCCCCTCCATGAGCAGCAGCCCCACCCTCCACTTGGCTCGAGGCAGGTCCAAGAGCCCCGGGCGTGCTTGCATTGGAGGGACTAATTCCTCCCCGCAAGGCTGCTGGTTGGAAATCCAAGAAAACACTAGATAAAGGGCATTCTAAATATATTTCTTTTCTATAGATGCTGATCTCCTGTTACTGGAAAACAGGAATTAGCTTGTCTGCTTGAGGATGTGGTTGGTTCGTTCTAAAAAGGACCCACAAGAAATTTGCGCGTAGAACTGCCAACTTCATTATGCAGCCGACAGCTTCCAGCAAAAGGAGGACGTTTGCAGCCAGATATTTCAGTAAGACTCGGATTTTATATTCTCTTGTGCAGTGGGATTACTCTTTTGCTCTCGGCCCCTTGCTTGGGTGGGGGGCATTCAGGGCCACTAGAGGGGCTAGTGGGCTGAGAGCCCCCAGAAGCATCTGTGGCCACGTCAGCCCAGACCTCGCCCACCCCTGAACTTGCAGCCATTTCTTGATGGCCAGAAAAGCTTTGCCTGCAGCCTGGTCACAATTGCTAAAGGTGGGTGGGGAGGTGGGAGTTGAGAGGAACTTGACTGATGGACTCTGATGTCACTGGAGGCCTTCTGGGATGACAGGGCCCACCTCTGAGGAGGCACAAAGCAAGTCCTTCCCATGGGACTCTGAAGCCCGGGCTGCTTCATACCTAAGCATTGGCTGAGCAGGTGGACAGCTCAGGAGCCGTGGGCATATTCAGGACTGAGAATTTTTATACAAGAGGGCCAGCCCCGGAGGCCAGGGGCACCAGTGCCAGCCCCTGGGTGGCATGTGGTGGTACCTCCTGGTCTCTGAGCCTCAGCCCCCTCGGGTGAGGACCAACATCTCACAGTCTCATTGGAGAGTCTCCACCGTGGTCTTCCAGCTGCCCCTCTGTTAACACATGGAGGAGATTTAAAAAAAAAAAATCTCCTGGCATTTAAAACTACTAGTGATTCGGGTTTAATTGGTCTCAGCTGAATCCCAGACATCAGCACATTTTTGAATTCCTAGGGAGGGCTGAGATCACACTACTGAGGCTGTGGGGGTGAGGAGGCAGGTGGCTCGGACCGGGGCCGCACGGGGCCTCCTGCTGGAGGGAGCGCACAAGCCCGGTCTCTCGGACCCATGCTCCGGGAGCGAGGAGAGCTGGGGAGAGGCTGGAATTGGTCCTTAACGGTTGAGTCCTTAACGCACTGGAGGAGGGGAGTCGATAACACCGCCAGATGCTTTCCTCTGCGCTGGATGTATGGCATCCTCGGGAGTGAAAAGAAGTGTTGCTTGTGTTTGTGGAAGTTGGCGGCTACCAGATCTCCGTGGTGGGGCAGACATCCCCTGGCTTCTGACACAGAGGCTGATTTGTAGAGGAAAGAACAAATAAGATACTTTGTGGAGTACCTGAATTTACAGAAGTCGGTGGGGTTGACTTTTGTTCATTTGTTTGGGGGTCATGCCGCAGTGCTCAGGGCTTAGTCCTGGCTTAGTGCTCAGGGATCACTGCGGGTGGTGTCAGGGAGAACATATGGGGTACTGGAATCAAACCAGCACTTGTCTCGGGCAAGGCAAGTGTCTTAACCCCTGTACTGGATTTACTGCGTGGGTTGGTTTTTATTATTATTATTATTATTTATTATATTATTATTATTACTATTATTATTATTATTAGGCTGGAGCGATAGTGCAGCGGGCAGGGTGTTTGCCTTGCATGCGGCCTACCCGGGTTTGATTCCTCCGTCCTTCTCAGATAGTCCGGCAAGCTACTGAGTGTATTCCGCTTACACGGCAGAGCCTGGGAAGCTCTCCATGGTGTATTCAATATGCTAAAAACAGTAACAAGTCTCATAATGGAGATGTTACTGGTGCCCTCTAGAGCAAATTGGTGAACAACAGGAGGACAGTGCTTCTTCTTCTTCTTCTTCTTCTTATTATTATTATTATTATTATTATTATTATTATTATTACCCTAAAACTTAAACAACAAAATTCATCCCTCTAAAATGAACAACTCAGTAGCCATGGGTACATTCACAGGCCAGGCCACCCCCTCCTGCCCCCTGTCCGCAAATGTGTTCTGCACATCTTATCCATTAAGCTGTAACTCTGGGCCTGCAGTTCAGGCAACTGCTAACCTGCTCTCTGTCCCCCCAGGACTTACCTATCCTGGGCACTCCCGACCAGTGGAATCACATAACATGCATCCTCGTTTGAATGGCTTCTTCTGACAGATTGGGTTTTGACTTTAGGGTCACACCTGGAGATGCTCGGGGGTCCCTCCCTGTGGCGCTCAAGGGGCTCTGTGTTACAGTGAGCAGACCTGGGTCTCTGGCACACAGCGCTTGCTCCGAGCCCCTTCAGCGCTCTCCCTGCCTCCTGGAACAGCTTCTTCCACGTGAATGTTTTTGAGGTTCATCCGCAGAGTAGCACCTATCAGTACTTCATTCCTTTAGGTTGAAACTTTGAATTAATTTTTAAATCATTGTGTGACCACAAACCTTTTGGCAGCTGTTTTGATAAATAAATGCATAAATAAATGGGACCTGCAATGCTGTTCTATCGGAGCCTTTGAAAGGGGAATAAGCCAACCAGTACAGAGCAATCTCTCTCTCTCTCTCTCTCTCTCTCTCTCTCTCTCTCTCTCTCTCTCTCTCTCTCTCTCCCTCCCTCCCTCCCTCCTCTCTCCTCTCTGCCTCTGTCTCTCTGTCTCTCTCTGTGTTTCTGTGTCTCTCCTCTCTCTCTCCTCTCTCCTCTCTCTCTCACTCTCTCTCTTTCTCTCTCTTTCCCCCCACCTCTGTCTCTGTCTCTGCCTCTGTCTCTGTCTGTCTCTCTGTGTGTGATGTGTCTGCCCCCCTTGTCTCTCTCTGTACAATCTGTAGGGCACTTGCCTTACATGCATCGGACCTGGGTTTGATCCCTGGCATCCCATGTGATCCTCCAAGCACTGCCAGGCATGATCCCTGAACACAAAGCCAGGAGTAACCCCTGAGTATTGTTATTTATCCCATGAATGATCCCCACCCCAACAGAAATTTAAAAGAAGTTACTATGGATTGTAAGCTAGCCTTTAACTGAAATGTGCTTGGAATTGGAGGAATGGGGGGTTTGGAGAGTGATTTGCACTGCTATGTATCACTTTTTCACTTTTCCCACAAGTTTGCCAAGTTGTGGACCTGCTGCAGAGCGGGAAGCCATAGACAGCCAGTTCAGGGACCCTGGGCTAACATCCTCACCCACCGTTGGGAACCCCTCAGGGCCTCATGGCCTCTAAGATTATCGTATGACACTAGCCTGCCAATTCAGCCCAGCTGTGTTCTCCCAGCACCCCAAATTTCTCATCACTTGCCTGCCCAGTTCTCTTCCAAGGATGTGAGCGGAGGGGGACTTCTCCTTGCGGCTGACCCTTCTGGGAAACTCTAACCACAAGTAACCACTGAGGGGGATTCGAGAGAGGAAGATGAGGGTTTCTGCCCCAACCCAGCCAGCATGTCCAGTGAGACAAACGCTCTTAAAATCTAGCCAATTTGACAGAATGGTCCCCAATTCCATCACCCACTAGCTAACCTTCAGCACTAGAATTGGGGTGTAGTTTAAAGGAGAATTGTGCCTCACACCCCATCCTCCCACTTTCCCACCTTCCCAAAGGCTTTGCCTACATGGCCCCTACCCAAAACCCACCTTGTGCCCTTGCTGCTGTGAATGGCTAGAGGAGCCTTCATCAGTTCTGTATTGGAAACTGGGGAGGCCGGAAGTGAAGACCTCCTTAGCACATGAGCAGCACGTCTGGTGTGGTGCAGTGTTTGGGGATGCCAGAGGTGCTGGGTCACTTGCATTGCCGGGGCTCCAACCAGGCCTCCAGCTTGAAATGTGTGAGTCCCTGCCCACTGAGCTATCCTGTCCCCTTGAGTGCTTCTTAAAAGGCAGGTGGCTGATCAGGAATTCTCTGACTCTGCCTCTCTGGGGAAATCTCCTTTGTTTCTGAAGGAGAACTTGTGCAACAGTCTGACTTATTCCTTCACACCCGGACTCTGTCCCTTCACTTCTGGCCTCCCCAGTTTCCAATACAGAGTCAACTAGACATCATTGAACACTTGGGCTCTTTGTGATGAGTCACGTTTCACTTGCTGCTTTCCAGGGCTCCTCGTTGTCTCCCAGGAGTCTGACTCTAAGGTGTGGAAGTGCACCTTTCTTCATATGCATCCAGCTTGGGATATTTTTAGCTTGTTACATATGAAAACTCATTTTTCATCAAATTCAAGAAGTTTACAGCCACTGTTTTTTGTTCCAAGTAATTTTTCTGTCTCTCTCTTTCTCTTGATTCCTGGGATTTACAGCACACATATATTGGCAGACTTATTGCTGCTTTATGGGTCTCTGAGCACCCTTCGCTGGGCTATTTTGTTCTGTGCTCTTCTATGCTCTTCATATTGGATCATTGCCATCATTTCTATCCAAATTCACTTATTCTTTCTTCTGCTATTTCAAATCTGCTATTGAAACCAAGTAAATTGCTTGCTTCAGTTTCTGGATGTTCAACTCAAGAGTTTCATGTGGTTTTCTAATTTTTTTTTCAATAAACGAGGATGTATGCAATCATCCTAGCAACCCCAGTGAGCGCTACAATAAGTGCACGCAAAAAAAATCACAGTTCAAAGGGTGAAGCTGCCCCCAAGCACCTCGGCTGCATGTAGAAGCATCACAACCAGATGTGTCACCCCTGGCAACATCACAACACAGCATGTGTGTGGCCGCCATCATTATAACAAGAAAAGGGGGAGAGAAATAAGGGGAAATATGGATAATGCTTGACAATGCTGGCAAGGGACAGCGCTGAGGATGTCTGGGCTTTCCAGCTGGTGCCTTTTGGTGGTACAAAGTAATCCTTCAGGGACTAGAGGGAGAGTACAGTGGGTAGGGCACTTGCCTTAGACATGACTGACCCAGGTTCAATCCCTGGCACCGCACGGATCCCCCAAATACCGCCAGGAGTGATGCCTGAGCACAGTACACAACTGAGTGTGGTCTGAAAACCAAAAAAACAAATGAACAAAAAAATTAATCCTGCAGAAGCCAGCATCTTCATCGCAGAGCGACACACACACACATGCACACACATGTATCTGTGTACATGCATGCACGTGTGCACACTCATAGACCTCACTCAGGGGTTGGAGAGACTGAAAGGCGCGCCACGGCAGGGTTGAACAGCACAGACCCCACTGCTGCTTCACACCAGTGAGGTGAATCCACTGGTCCGTGCAGCGAGCCAGCAGCTGCTTCCCTTCCGTGGTCCAGTCTACAGGAAGCA